CATAACTTCAGATCTCCCAGAATGTAGGAACTATTTCTTACGAAGAGGAGGTACAGAAGTTGTCTAATGCTTAGGGGCCACTGAATGAGTGGCACCCAAGTCAGTTCGCATGCAAGAGTGATAAGTGCATTTTGCGCCCTTATTCGGGCCATATTACTAAGTTTAATCGACGTTAAAATATTGAATTTTACTTAGTTTGGGATAATTTTCATTTGTTTCAGTGTTAGACCCATTTGGAGAATAAACCACGTTACGCCGATTTCTCGTTTCAACTCCATTTACTTAATCCAATATTATTCTAGGCTAGATTATTTTTATACTAGGACTACAATGAAACTTATATCATGACTCTTTGATTTTTGAATCTTATTTATTTTTTGCACTCAAAGCATGTTTTTAATTTTAAATGATTGACATGAATTTATTTTCCTCTACAACTATATGCTCAATGGTTGTATAAGTTTCATGACTTCTTCTAACTTCAAAAGATTGAAAATAAGTTAGATGTAATGTCAATTGTCATAGAGTCCAATAGTGGATAAAAATATACCGCTATACTTTAAGTCATCTTTAGCTATTCATAAATCCTTAATGCATTTTTTATGTTTGCATCCGTTATAGAAATATAATTAGGTCACATGTAAGGAGATATTTAATTCAAATCAAGATAATACGCTTTTCATCAATAAATTTTCATCAGACTTGCATTAATCACGATTTGCATAGGTTCTAGTTACTATAGGTATTGTCTTCATAAGTACATTATAATTTCGTCATAGAAACATCACAAATTTCCGTTGTTTTGGTTAAGACTAAGTTAATTCGAACTTGAACTAATACAATTTCTGTGGGTATGATAATTGGACATAAATCCATTTTGCTACTTGTTAATAAACCATGTACTTGCTATATTTCAAACAAAATAATTTTTTTGGCACTGGCAATTTTTACTTTAGTTTGGGTTTGATTTATTTTAGCACTGATTAGAATTTCTACATTTATTCTTGTGTTTTTTTTTTCCATTTTAGTTTGTTTTTGTTTTTTTTTACTTCTTCAAGTTATAAAAAAAAAAAAGAAAGGAGGATAGCAGATAACTGTGATTGATTTGAGCAAAATGCACGTATGGGAGTTCTTTCGTAATACAACAGCGATTGGCAGCTCAAGAAATTGATAAGGAAGATGATTGTGATAGTAGGACAGCAATTACGAGATATAAAAACAGAATGTGAACTTGATGAAATTGTCCAAGGTGACTTGCCTATTGTATTATTTCTTTCACCAAAATTTGACATAGGAGATTTACCTGTGAGATTATTTCTTTAGACGGTTATTAATGGACATTAATTAAGGGAATCACGTTCACCGGCTTCCAATATATACAACAAGAGAAGAAGACTTTGTGAAGTTGTCATTATTTCTTTACAAAAAGTTTTGGATACGGACGTTGAACTCGAGAAAGCTTCGATTAAAGAACAGGGTCATGAAAAAAATTAAGAAATAGTACTAATGGGTCAAAAAAATTAGTAACATTCAAAGAAGAGAAAGCTAGCATGCAATTCTTGGACTTTATCCGTTGCTCAAAAATTGAATTTATGGTTAAACATTATGAGAAGATTGAGTTGTACGTTGTTGAGTTCATAACAGGTGATGAGGGGAAGTCATAATACTTGGAGAGGGTCAAGGTTAAAATTTGGAGGAAAGTTACAATATGGAACAAAGTCAAATTGAGTAAGTTAAGTATGACCTCTAAAGCCATATTCTAATGCCATAAAATATTTGTGCAAAAGTCGAGCTGTAGACTGTAAATCGAGCGCTTAATGGGAGGCAACCCATTTTCTATCATTTTTTCACTTATTCAGATTAACTACTACATTACAAATGGTTTTATGGATTGCATTGTTTTAGGAACTCATGCATTTATATAGTTTTTTATACATTTAAGGTAGTATTTTAAGACTTACACTAATAACTTAGGCATGTTTAGTTATTGAGTTCATTTTAATTAGGCTTATCGTTAACATCCTAGCATTATATTAAGCTTACATTGATGTGAGATGCATTAGCTTTTCCTAGCTATAAGATTTTTGCATGGATGCACTCTATATTAGATAGTTTTTCTAGATGTTAGAAAATAAAAATTATTTCTGGTGTAAATTCATTACAAAGATTTAAACCTTATATGCTATCACTATTTTTTTTTAATTCTTGAAACATAAAATTAAAACCTAACAAAAAGAAAAAGCGAGGATTGTCGAGACACCTACTAGTTGGACCAGTTTGATCCTTCTACCATCCGCATCTGCCCTCTGGGAGTCTCCGATTCTTACTTTTTTATTTTAATTGCTTTTACATTCAGGACAACGTAATATTTTTATTTGGTAGTAGATAAGTATTGTGATATATATATTTCAACTGCTGATCGGGACGTGATTTCATTTTGTAGATTTAATTTTTGAATTTGTTGACATAGATTTGAATAGGATTTTCAAACCTTTAACATAATAACATAACTGCTAGAACCCCAAAATCCTTAATATAGAAACCAAACTGCTAAAAGCAGTTTGGAGTTTGGAGATGGGAAGGTTAGTGTTTGTGTTCAAATTTGATGGTTTGGAGTTCTTGGATCAGATCTCTGGATGAATGAATTTAAGTTAAGGAGTCTAGAACAGGCACTGACCATTTTTAGAATTCGAATCCCTTATCAAAAGCAATTTGAGAATAGGAAGGTTTGTATTTGTGTTCATAGAAGTTTGATGGTTTGGAGTTCTTGGATTAGATTTTTGGTTGAATGAGTTTGAGTTAAGAGTCTAAAATAGGCATTGACCGTCTTTAAAATTTGAATCTCGTATCTAATGAGAAAATGTAATACATCTTATATTTCTCCTTGTTGAACTCTCATGACCCGAGTTATTAAGCTTGCAATGGTATCTAAAAATCTGGTGCCCTATAATCCTTCGACTTGGGAGTCATCAACCTAAAACCTGCTACAAAAGTAATTTAGAAAGCTTAATGGATAGAGATCTTGTGCATAAGACATAAAAATAAAGAAAAACAAGTATGATAGATCTTTTCCTTCCCTTCGTAGCCTTTATAGCTCGAGCAATTAAGCCTTAATGGTATCTAAAACTTGGTGCCCTATAGTAATATGACTTAGAAATCATCGGTCTAAAGCTCGCTACAGTCATGTAGAAAGCTTAATGGGGGAGAAACCCTACACATGAGATGTCAAAGAAAAAGAAAGAAAAAGGGAATCTAGATTATCGAAAGTGATATGTGTGACGACCTGAACCTTTAACGATTAGAGTGGCACTAAATCATAAACTAAAACTAATTTAAAGAGTATTCAATACAATTATATAAATTATTAAAGCATTTATCAAAATTCAAATAATGTAATGAATTTAACAAATTAACTTGAAATGAGAAATATCTTAAAATATTTAAAAACAAATAAAATAATAATAGTTTGACAACATATTAATTTTACAATTGAAACATGTGCCACCATAAACCATCTTCGTACCAACTGCCTCGATCATCAATTATCTAAAAATAGAGACATAATGGGATGAAAATAATTCTCAATAAGTTTTCGTGGATAATGAATTCATATATATATATATATATGAAAAATTCATAACTTACATAGGGAGACACGAAAATTACACCGAACTTATGTGGTACTAAATTCTCATGGGTAGTGCTATTAAATTCTAATCAATTTGAATAAAGCATATGTAACATAGACCTTTTGTCGTAGAAGTATTACATACATAAACATTAGCCACCATAAACATAAAGCACAACTTATCTTTCACTAGACAATTTAAAGTGATAAAAACGAGTGATTGTTAGAAATAGATCCTTGGACCGTGTGTAGGGTTGATTATTCACGTGTGATTGGGTAAGTGTACGACTATACTTAAGATGAAAAGGACAAGCGAAAGAGTAAAAGTAGAGAGAGAAAGTGATAGAGGTGGAGAGAGTGTGTGTGTGTGTGTAAATAGTTGGTGAGGGGCAATCTAGTGTTGGGTTTGTCTCCTATTTATAGTGCAAATTTTTTACTATGTGTAGAAAATTAAAAAGAAATATCTAGATGTTAGGCATGGCCAATGCATAAATGGAGTATTTTTATGGAAATGGTCAAATTAATACCTTTAATCACGTGATCAAATCAATTCACTTAGTTTAAACTTAATATAAATAATGCATGTGGTCAAATCAATTTTCTTAAATTACATGGTCAAATCAATTATATTGGCCTGAAATGTTGTGTAAATAATGCATGCTGTCAATAAGTTATCTTTAATCAAGTCTAATTGGTAGATTTACACACGATTTCATCAACTTCCAAAATAACTCTCTACTTAAGTCCTCAAAATATTGGTCAATAACCAATAAGGTTGTTAGTCTAGGCTAATAATCAACAAGGTCATTAAACTTTAATAATAGCACAGTTAAATCCTAAATTTAAATCTAACAACTAGTAGTTAAAATTTGGCACATTAAAATCTACCTTAAAATAAATTTCGCCCTAAAAATTTATCTTAGAGTTCTTCGAAGAGTTGTGGGTACTTGTCTTACATTTCCACTTATCATTCCCAAGTAGCTTCTTCAATTGTGTGATTACACCATCACATTTTTATTAAAGGGATCACCTTGTTTCTACATGCTTGAAATTTCTGATTGATAATTTTGAATGGTGTTTCTTCGTAACTCAAACCGCATTGTAACTCTATTGATTGATAATTTACTATATGGCTCAGATCAAAACATACTTTCTTAGCATAGACAAGTGAAATACATCATGTACGGCTGAGAGTTTAGGGGGTAAATCTAATTGATATGCTATACTTCCAACGGGCCTCAAGATTTCGAATGGGCCAATGAATCTTGGTCGTAACTTTCCCTCTTACCGAAACGTAATACTCACTTCATAGGTGGCACTTTGAGGAATACTTCGTCACCTTCAAGAAATTCCAAGTCCTTTCTTCTCTTATCTACATAGCTTTCAGTTTGTCTTCAGCCATTTTAATACTGTTACGAATCTTCTTGATAGCTTGCACAGTCTGTTCAATAATCTCTAGACCCAAAATCTTATGTTCGCCAAACTCATCCCAATAAACTAGCAACCTACATTTCCTTCTATACAATGCTTCATAGGGTGCCATGTTGATAGAGGTGTGATAACTGTTGTTATAAGCAGACTCAATTAAAGGTAGATGTTTTTCCAAATGTCCACTAAACTCTAAAACACACAATCAAAGCATACCCTCTCATGTTTGAATCATCCACTCAGATTGACCATCTACTTGAGGATGGAAAGTTGTACTAAAGTTCAGTTTAGTTCCCATAGCTCGATGTGAACCTTGAGTCTCTATCCGATACAATTGAAACTGGTATACCATGAAACTACCCCCACTTTCTAAATATACAACTGTGCTAAAATTGGTCTATAGAAAAGGCCATGCGAATGGGCAAGAAATGGGTAAACTTCATTAATCAGTCAACGATAACCCAAATAGCTTCCTAACCTTTATTAATTTCAGGAAACCTACAATAAAGTCCATTATCACATGTTCTCATTTCCATTCTGGAACATCTGATGGCTGTAGCAATTCTGATGGTCATTGTTGTTCGACCTTTACTTGTTGGCATATCAAATACCTTTCAACATACATGGCTATGTCCTTCTTCATTCCTCTCCACCAAAACATCAATTTTATATCTTGGTACATTTTGGTACTTCTTGTATACACTGAATATGGAGCAGAGTGAGCCTCTTCCAATATTTCCTTTTCCAATACCTCTAAGTCTTGTATACATAGTCGTTCCTGATGGTACAATACCTTATCATCAACTATGGTAAACTTTTTCTTACCTCTATCTCAACCTTAAACTCCAAGGACTGATCGTCCTTCTAATGACTCCTAATTCTATCAGAAGTGTTGGTCGAACAAATGATGCTATCATTCGAGCCACGACATTAGACGGAGCTGTGACAATTTCAAGACCTAATCTCTCAAACTCCTTTCCCAAAGGCTTTTGTGTGGTCATTGACTTATCATTTTCCTACTTAAAGCATCTACTACCGCATTTACCTTGCTTGAGTAATAATAGATTTCACAGTCATAGTCTTTCACTAGCTCAAGCCATCTTCTCTGACTCATATTCAATTCTTTCTAAGTGAAAATGTACTTGAGACTCTTATAGCCTGTATAAATGTCACACTTGCCTTTATAGGTAGTATCTCCAAATTTTTAGGGCATGAAAAAATTGTAGGAAGCTCTAAATCGTGAGTAGGGTAATATTGCTCATACGGCCTTAATTACCTTGAAGCGTAGGTGATCACATTTTCTTGTTGCATCAATACACATCCCAGGCCATTCTTAGATGCATCACTATAGATTACAAAAACTTGTATCCCTTTTGATATGCTTAACATTGGCATGTTCACCAATCTTTACTTCAACTCTTCAAAACCACGCTCGCACTTTTTGATCCATTCAAATTTTACACCCTTATGAGTTAAATGTGTTAATGGTCCAGATATATTTGAGAACTCTTCGATGGACCTTCTATAATATCCGTCTAAACCTATAAAACTATGAATTTTCCCAACAATCATTGGCCTCGTCCAATTCAGAATTGCCTCTACTTCGCTTGAATCAACCTCTATTCTTCGAGTTGTAATGACATGCCACAAAAACACTGCTTGTTCCAACCAAAATTCACGATTCTTAAATTATGCATACAATTTCTCATTCTTCAAGATTTTCAGTATGATCCTTAAATGAATCAATAAATGCAATGAACAATCGATCAAGAAAATCATGAAAATCATGGTTCATCAAGTTCATGAATGGAAAAACTAAAAAACTTGTAATGACCATATCGAGTCCTAAAAGGTGTATTTGAGATATTACCAATCTTGATCTTTAATTGGTGGTATCTTGATCGTAAATCGATTTTGGAAAATATCGCTTCACCTTGAAGCTGGTCAATCAAATCTTCGATTCTTAGAAAAGGATACTTGTTCATAATGGTAATCTTGTTCGGTCTCAATAATCAATGTACATCCTCATTGATTTATTTTTCTTTCTTTTTCACAACAAGTATTGGAGCTTGCTATGGTGATTTACTAGGTTGGATGAATTCCTTCTCTAGCAATTCTTCTACCAGTACTTTTAGTTCTTGAGCTCTTATGGCGTCATTCTATAAGGGGCCTTAGAAATAGATGCGGCCTCTAAGTAAGATTGATTGTGAACTCTACTTCTCATTCTGGTGGCAGGCCGGGTAAATCATCTAGGAAAACTTCTAGGTATTCCCGCACAACTCTAACTTCATTGACTATCAACTTCTTAGCTCTTTCTTTGTCTATTGCTGACATAAGGAAACCTCTACTACCTCCTAATTGTAAGATTCACATTGCTTGTAATAAAGACACGACAGGGAGTAGGGACCTACTCTTAGTCATTTATAATCAAAATTCCTTTTCTCCTAGTTTTTGGAAGACCACATTCTTCTCGAAACAATGAATTGTTGAGTGATTATTGGATAACCAATCCATCCTAAAAATTACATCGAAATCATGCATATCTAAAACATAAAGTTTCATCTCTAAAGACCTACCATCGATTTCTATCCTTGCCGCCTTAACTATATTATCTATGTTAAGTACCTTTCCAAAGGGTGTAGACATTTTTAAAGATAAACGTGTAGGAATAATATTTACATCTTGTCTTTGTACAAATATAAGGGATATGAAGGAGTAAATGGCACCAGAATTGATTAATAAATAGACATATAAGTTAGATATTAAAACATTACATGCCAAAATATTATGATCCTGATCATCTTCTCTTTCAGTAATGAGAAGATTCTTGACTGTCCCTTGGGTGCATATTCCTACCTCTACTGGCTCCCCTATTTCTGCTAGATCTTAGGGCAAAACCTAGTCATATGCCCTTGTTCTCTACACTGAAGACATGTGTTTGCCCTTAAGAAAGAAGCTCACAAAAGGTGTTTCATACATTTGTTGCAAAACAGGTAGCTCTTATTATCACTTTGAATCGGGCCTCCTTTGCTTTTCTTGCCATAGTTCTATTGCCCTTTGCTCATGTTATCTTCCCATTTGTTATTTTTCGTATGCCCATACTGTTGCATGTTCTCTCCACTAAAACAGCTCCTAAAATTTGCCACATATGCCTTTGTTAACACTTCATGGAGGTTTCAAGTTCAAGCACTACCACTGCCTGCCTTGTATCATCTCTTACTATTTGAAAAGCCTCACATTTTTATCCTTAGTATCCACAAAGCTAGGGGTATAATGGGATAATATTTCAAACTTTCACTCGTATTTAGTAAGAGATATCGAGCCCTGAGTTAATGTAATAAACTCAGTCTCTTTCTGATTTTGAAAACTTGTGGATAGTACTTTTTCAAAAAGTTCTCCTTGAATTGGTTCCATGTGCAGATATGTTCATGGGCCCCTTGGCCTTGAGGTTGAGTCCTACCAGCGCATGGTATCATTTTTCTGCATAAAGGTTGTATTTTTCTGGAGTTTGGGTAGTCAACAAGATCTAAGATCCTTTCAATCTTCTACTTTCAAAGAATCTAAACCACCCTCAAAAGTTGGGGGTACTGTTTCCTAAATAGTTCCATGACAACAGCAACTGTGTTCCTTGTGTCTTCTGTCGCTATCGAAGTTTGTAACAATGGTGGCGATGATGTTGGTGTGTCTATTATTGTGGTGACAGTTATGGTGTTGTCGCCTGAGCAAAGGTACACATCATGGTGAGGAATTGCTGAGTAAACTGTGGGGTCAATCCCGTTAGGTTGGGATTGTTCAAGCTGTTAAGGTTGTCGGACTTGTTTAACATTGTTATTGACTCTTGTGCCTCAAGGTGCCATAACTTCTATATGTGTGTGTTTTGCAAGCAGTGATGTAATTTTATTTTTATTTTTTAAAATCTGAGTCTACAAGAAATTAGATCGACTCTGATACCAATTGTGACAAGCCGAACCCTTAACGATTTGAGTACCTCAAATCATAAACTAAAACTAATTTAAAGAGTATTCAACACAATTATATAAACTATTAAAGCACCTATCAAAATTTAAATAATGTAATGAGTTAAATAAATTAACTTGAAATGAGAAAATATCTTAAAATATTTAAAATCAAATGAAATAATAATAGTTTGACAACATAATTTTATTATTGAAACTTTTGCTACCATAACTCATCTTCATGTCGACGTGAGAATAATTTTCAAAAGTATGGATAGATAATGAATTCATATATGTGTCTCGATGGAAAATTTAGAACTTATATAGGGAGACACGAATATTAGACCGAACTTATATATATAGTGCAAAATTATCGAGTGCAACGTTACAAAACTCTGGTCCATTTTGAATAAAACATACATAACATAAATCAAAACATAACATAGCCATAGATATATTACATACATAAATATTAGCTACCATAAATATAAAGCACAACTTACCTTTCACTGGACAATTCAAAATGATAAAATAAGTGATTGTTGGAAAGAGGTCATTGAGTAGATGTGAGGTTGATTATTCACGTGTGATTGTATAAGTATATGACTATATTTAATATAAAAAGGGCAAGAGAAAGAGTAAATGTGGAGAGACAAAAAATGATAGAGGTAGAGAGGGAGTGTGTGTAAATAGTTGGAGAGGGTGGTATAGCGTTGGATTTATCTCCTATTTATAGTGTTAATTCTTGATCATGTGTAGAAAAGTAAAAGGAAATGATTAAATGCTAGGCATGGCCAATGCATAAAATGGGGTATGTGATGAAAATAAGTGTGTTTAATAAGTTTTTGGGTGTTTGATACGTGCGTTTTGTGCACTTTTCCAGGCTATATTACAAGCTTTTATGTCGTTAAAATATTGAGTTTAATTCATTTGGGTTAATTTTCGTTTGTTTTAGTGTTGGACTCATTTTTAAGCAATTGGAAAAGAAAGAATGAACAAGAAACACAAAATTTGGATAAAACATGCAATTTCCATATCAAGTTCCACACTATAGGAATTGAAGGGCTTGAATTGAAATTAAAAAGGACATGGGCAGCACAAAGACTTGCACTTGAGGACAATAATGCACATTTTGATATATTATTGGTCATTGGCACATATTAGAATTTAATATGGCAGGAAAATCATCGGAAATCAATAAACAATTTAATTGGGCTTGGACTTGTTCGATTGAAGAGAATTGGAGTCCCTTTCATATTTTGACTACAACAGTCGATAGGAAGGGGGGGGGGGGGGGGGGGGGTCCGGGGGTTGGTTGTACACGAGGCAGAGGCTGTCGGTGGAAGATGGACAGACACGCAGTGGAGAAAATTTTCATTGCAAATTTTTGTGCAATAATTTCATCAATAATTGTGTAAGAAATTTGAGAATTAATCACGTACCATCAATTTCTCGATGATGTCGTTTAAATTTGATTTGTTTAATTTCGATATTATGCTAAGCTAAATTGTTTTTGTGCTAGAACTACGATGAAACTTATATCATGAACATTTGATTTTTGAATCTTATTTATTTTTGACATTTAAAGCACATTCTTAATTTTGAATGATTGAGATGAATTTATTTTTTCCTAGAATTGTATACTCAAATGTTGTATGAGTTTTGTGGCTTGTTTTACTTTCGAAAGATTAAAAATAAGTTAGACATAGTGTCAATTGTCGTAAAATCCGATAGTGAAAAGAAATATGTCGCTATGCTTTATGTGATCTATATTATTTATAAATCATTAATGCATTCTTATATATTTGCATCCTTCATAAAAATATAGTCAAGCCACATTTAATAATAGGTTTAGTTCTACTTGAGAGAGATTGTTAAAAAAATTGGGAATAATGATCTTTATAATTGAATCTTGTTGTCAAATTCATAAAGTTCGGTGTTAAAGGAGTTTTAGGATCCTAGCACGCTTTTCATCAATGGATTTTCATCAAACTTGCATTAATCATGATTTGCATTGATTCTAGTTAATTTAGGTATTGTCTTCATAGGTAAATTATAATTTAGTCATTGAAACATCACAAATTTTCTTTGTTTCGGTTAAGAAAAAGTTAATTTGAACTAGAATTAGTACAATATCTCTGGGTACAATACTTGGACTCAAAATCAATTTTACTACTTGTTAACAAGATGTGCACTTGCAGATTTAAAACGAAACAATATTTTTGTGACAAAGTGATATACAAAAAAATTGATATCATGTGAAAGATAAGGAAAAATCCTTTGAAGCAAATAAGCTAACAAAAATTCACCTGGAGTGATCTGAAAACCAAGATTATAAAATTTTGGATTGGAAGAGTGTAGTAGTCCATCTATTTCACAAGCATCAGAGCTCAAGTAAAAAACTGGTGTTTCCAAAGTACGAAACTCACTAAGGCCTCAACCGCGAAGGTGAGCTAGTTGTTTATTTGCACGAGTACAATTAAGTAAGACAAATTCTTGAATAAAAAGCATTAATGAGTAAAAAAATACGTACTATATTCGCCGTAAAGTCGAGGCATAACCACAGAGGGATGAATATCATTAGGTTGCACACTCCATTTGTTGCGAGCGAAGAAAAAGATCTCCTTTCAATTATGAATTTCGTTAAGACTAGTTATAAGCTTTGGGCACGTTTTGGGAGAGCGAGGGGCAAGATGGTAATATCCCCTCTTTGAGCGTATAGTGTTACCCGCTTTGACAGAATGGTAAATAGAGCACAAAATATCTAAAGAAAACTCTCCCTCCAGACTGGCAATATTCCATAGCAAAATGATCCAATCATATGGGCCCATCAATTTGGGGCAAGTTAGGTAGGAACAATGTTAAAGGAAGAGAAAATAACACAAAAAAGGGTGAAAAATGATTCAAAGCCACATATCCATTAAGTGCCTATGGATAGCTATGCAATCATGGGAAGGGCGGTTTGCAATTTTGGAATTGCCTATGGTATAGCAACTCTATGTCAGTGGGAACACCAAAGTCGTCCCAAA